TCAGGGACACGGTGAAAGAATGCTTGCTTTTTAGTAACCTTTATACCCTATAAGAGTAGTGATTATGTGATGGGGTCGGGGTGTCAGCATACTCAAATCTGTTCATTAACCATGCTTCATGTATCCCATCCCTATCTTGTCTCCCTATCTTTTTATACAATCCCTATATGCCTCTTTTTTAAAATTCGGAGGATTTTTTATTTACTTGTAGTACACTATTTTAGAGGTGTGAAAATCAGAAATGAGTGACATGTAAAACCTGATAGATGTGGAAGTACATGAGTAGTAGCAACATTTAAAAAAACCTAGGCTACAAAGTAAGGACAGAAACCCTGCATGAATGGATGAACTATAATGCAACCCTCAGCCCTGTACATGAGCATTACTTTTGAAGGGTGTGGCCTCAGTGTTTATCGCGGCAAACTATATAGTACCACTCAACTAGAGCTCTTTGAAGTAACGTTTTTCTTGAACGAGCGAAGGATAACCAAGGGAGTAGGTGAGTGGACATTGTGGCCATTTCATATTTAAAAAGGAAAATGCATTGCCTTAATGAAATTGTGCTCTTAAAAACGAAAATTGTCAGTTAAATTTGACTTTGATAATCAAACTAATTTTCAATTTTTGACATGTATTTTGCATTTTGCCAGCGTGTGAATTGTGGTTAAAACCTTGTATTTCCTGTTTTAAATTGTACTTTTCTTTTTTCCAAGCCATTAAGTTTGCGCAGGCATAATCCTTGCAGGGACGTTATGTGGCGGGGGCCGGGGAAGGTCTCGTTGACGTGGAACTGTGCGTTTACAAAGCAGTAATAACCAGCGATCTTCCCAGGGCAGAGAGATGTGATGCAAATGCAGACGCCGCTCCAATCACCCAATACATTGATATATATTGGCGTTCTATCCCATGCATGTGTGAAGTTTCTAAAGAGCTTGATTTCTAAATATTCTCAGCAACTATCATGAAATTAGCTACATTTGTGGTGTTTGGTTTGGTATATAACAATATTTTTTGCTTCATATAGAATGGAGAAGTATAGGATCAGTAAGAGTGATGGCTCTGTTGTGTTTGGACAACTTTTGGGGATGTGCGACCATATCACTTTCACCCTTGGTAATTTTCCTATTGTACAAATTGGTAAGCAAAGCGAGCCTACCTTCTTGTTTCTGTGGGAATATTAGTGTGTAACAGGCACCGATGGGTACTACACATACCGTAAATACGAGCGAAACACGCGAAACATTGAACTGCTCAATTCGCTTGCCAAAATGCGTTTATATTTTGATAGTTTAGACCCTACCAGTCTTAATCTGTGCAACAGCTATTTTGCTCAGTGCCTAGGCACCAATCACTTGTGAAGGAAGTTGTCAGTTCAAGCCTTTCCGCAATATTTCAGATAGTTCTGGCATTCGCTGGTATATTTTACGTAGATGCTTGCACACAATATTTAGCCCGACATGGAGGTCAAAAAATCAAGATATAGCCCGTTCCCAAAGGGCAGAGGTTATATCAGCCGCTAACTTCGTGGTGAAGGTGAAGGGCTCTATAATATTTTGTGGAATAGACCATACATAGCTCTAATGCATGTGACAACAACGAGCTATCAAGGCAAAGGCAAAGTAAACAAGTCAACTGCACCCAGGCCAACTCTTTTTCTACAACACAACACAAAACAAAGGCAAACCTCAAACCACTGTGCTATACTCTCACTCAGTATGTATACTGGGCTAGTGGTATGCCAACCCCTACTTGTCAATGGTCACCTTTCAAAATGAAGTGCAAAACCCTCGGCAAGCTGCGCATGCGCGATACCGCTAATTATCCGGCTGGACTATTAGTATGCGTCTGGCTACAGCTAGTAGTAGATAGCATGCGATAGTCGATACACGCCCTCCGTTGTGACTTCTTGTGCCTCCAAGGTACACAGGGCAAGTGGACCTGGTCGAGGTAAGCCTGGCAAATTTGCATATTGGCTTGTTCACTTGCCTTTCACGCCATAACTTTTGAACGCAGAAGTTATCAAAATCGCCGTTTTAAAAATGAGGCCAGTGTAGCGATGAACTTGTTGGTGTCGCTATTTCTTTGTCTCGTTGCGCGTAGTCGCAGAAAACGTGGTAACAGACGAACGGACAAACACACACACCTAGTCACGAACCAAGTACCGTAACCCTCGCTGCGCATGCACGCCGAGGGTTAATAAATGCAAGGGATATGCTGAGTACATGTCAGCAGGGTAACAATGGTTAAAAGTCTCCTGTATAAAGGCAAATAAGTAGTAGTTAATTCGCTTAATTGGGGAGCATGAGCTGCATGGGCGAATACACCCTATAACAACTTTGTTAGGCAATCATTTTAAACGCAAAAAGGCCTGTGTGGCTTGGAGGTTCCATGGCAAAATAATATAACTATACTACACTAGCCAAAATTAGACAAAGAGAAACTCGAACGTTTCGGTAGCCATACGGCTACCACCATTAGTGAGAACTGAAATCCAAAAAAACGAGCACTCAGATGTTATAAGAGCTAGAACCGGGAAACGAGAAAGCAAAAAGGAATTCATCAACAAACAATGATTGTGAAATGAACAATACAAACAGATAGTCAAAAGAAACCTAGGATCTCATAGCATCCACAAGGTAGTCATAAATGGTGGTAAAGTGGGTGTATCTCTGTTCAAAGTATGACAGGTGGATCTAATGTAGATATCCTCCTGGGTTTTCTTGGCCACACACCCAGAACACTGGGCAGAGCCAGAGAAGTATATAGAATGAAGATTTCCCTTGATCCCTTAAGAGCTCACTTAGAGTCTGTCTGGAACTGGATATACACATTCGACTGTCCTAAAGTTTCTAAATATCTAAGTGGTGGCTAGTGGACCCCTGCTATGCCCAGTAAGGGCCTTGGTTTAGGCATGGAAAGTAATTACAGGGTGTTTACCAAACACCTAATCTTTCCAAAGTCATCTCTCTACTGTCATGGCCTTAAATGGTATAAAAGAGTTTACAGTGTGCGAAGGTAAGCGTGAAGTGGTTGGCATAAAGCACACCGGTCTCATTACAAAAGAAGAGGTCATCTCTGTATATTAGACTAAGGCCTTGCCCTGAGGAATATCGGTGTCATCTACATTATTCATGGAAATTAAGATAGAGTGGTTGTGCCTAAAAATTACTCCCAGAAAAAATTTTGATCTACCATTTCGCACAGAATAATTTGCCACCAAAAATGGACGTCCCAGATAGCCAATTTCACAGGCTCAATATGCAACTTGTTTCAACAAAATGTATACAGAGGAGATGTGTGAATCGCGCATGAATTTCAATTGTAACAGGCGAATGAATACTTGTGCCGTGCCGGGGTGCCGACCCCTAAAGTTTGTAAGTACTGTATGCTTAATATCGTGTACAGAGTGACACAGATCTGTCATTCCATGCTGTATCTCAAGGCTTTGTTAACCCTCGGCGCGCATGCATTACGGTAGTGTCTGTCTGTCAGTCTGTCTGTCGGTCGGTCAGTCCGTTACTGGACATATCACTTCATGAGCCATCAATCGCTCCACAAACGATACCACGTATTCAGCGTCGGATAAAGGTCGAAAAATATGTGGGGTTCTGCTGCGTTGTTACGTCGTGAAACACTAGCGAAAAAGTCAATATGCTAATTATAACAGGCTTACCTCAAGCAGGTGGGGTCCGCTTGCTATGTGTATCTCGAAGGCACAAGAAGTCACAACGAAGGGCGTGTATTGACTCCCAGACTCTCCGCGAGCTACTAGCGGGAGACCACTAGTACATGCATACTAATAGCGCAGCCCATCAAATACCGTGGTACCGCGTTTGCGCAGTTTGCTGAGGTTAGTGCCTTTTCATTTCTGCTGTACATTCCCTACCAAGACGGGTTGCTGACTGAAAATATTTTACCGAGAGTAATGTGACCTTGCGTATTGTTACAAATTCTTCCAACCTCCTCTCAAATTCCATCAAATTTATTGTTATTTCCATGTATCGGTTTGTTTTGCATGCTGATTCCCTAAGGATAACACAAAAATGTTGCATTACTCAGTCTAAGGCAGTAATGTGTATGAATGTGTGTGAAATAGCATTAGTGTCTTGGCTGGTTTAGTATGTCATTACAGATAAATATGTATTGTGGATAGTGATTCAAAATTCCCATTACAGGTAAATACGGATATGCGCCATACAAATACATGCCATATGGACCAGTGGAAGATGTTATTCCATACTTGATTAGGAGAGCTCATGAAAACAAAGCAATGCTTGAAGGAGCTGATGAAGAAAGAAAACTTGTTAGAACAGAGCTTAAAAGAAGGTTTCTTCAATTAAAATTTCAGTAAAGGTGCATATTATCCTAATGTCTTACTTATGGTGCATAGTCTCATTATAAACAGTAAAAAGCTAAAAACACTATTGTCAAAATCACACTTTTTTTGTGGCAACTATTTCAGAGGTCGACCTTCCAGTGACTGTTCTCTGAAGCCTTTAACCATTTCCTGCACTGCTCCTTTATCAATTACGTCTGCATCCGATACATACTTCATCTGTCTAGGAACATCAAGAAGAGCAAGGAGAGGGATTTTTGCAGGAAGTCTGGCAAACAAACAGAGAGATTGAACGATGTCATCCTCTTCTTTTGGATTAGTATAGAAAAATAGAATTGGAGGGTCTGCATCATATTTTTCATTGCATTCCAGTGCCACTGCCTCCAAGCAATCTTTTGCTTTGGCTACATTTTCATTTGATCCATCTAACAAAAAGAATAACGGGGGTAAGTGTTAGTCTCATTACTTGCCCTGAGTAACTTACCAGTGAACCAAACTACTGCTGCATTCTCATTTATATCCCCAGCATTAAGTCCAGTTAGCATATTCACTGGTTTTGGCCTCCATGGATACTCCTGTGATATGGGAATGAAACAACTAGCAAGATTTGTAAGAGAAAAAGGTATACATATGAATAGGACTTGAGGGGCATCACCTACATTTACTCAAACTCAGATTGGATGCACTGGCCAAGTAATCAGAATTGAGCATGAAGCACCACCATAACTATATTTCACTTTCTAATTACAGAATGGCCCAGACCACGTAGTGGTTGCCAGCCATTCCGGATTATATGAAGGTGACGTTGAGCATATCAATGTGTTTGGCCTACTTTTCTAACTCAGACAGCTAGTTTGTAGGTAATATTTAATGATCAGGGTTATCCATCCCATAATCTGATCGTCACCTTAGTGTTAATGAAGGGTGCTAATTGTGTATGTGCCTAAGTCACGCACCCTGCCAGTCTCTGCCGGTTTTTTCCGCCTGAAAAAAGGTGGGCTCTCGTTTAATAGGCTCCGCATCTCTGGCTCATCGGCATTTTGTATAGCGAGCGGTCGAAGTCAATTCTTATGCCCCATTAGGGTCTCGGCCCTGCATATGAATGTGAGACTCTGTCTCAGGAGGGCTGGGTGGGACATTGATATGCTCGACATCACCTTCGTATATAAATTCCAGAATAGCTGGCAACCACGAGCCATTCTGTAATTATATTTCAGAAGGCTCCGTCTCACATATCAATGTGTATTTTTTAGTTGTGTCCACCCTGCCTGGGTTGAGGACGGCTCTGCCGAACCCAGTATGCTTGGACGGCTTGTAATAGAACTGTTGGAACACTGATGGAATGCTCCAGTCTGCCGCATTGAGGATGTTACATGTAGTGACTCCTGCACTAGAGGCTGCCGTCGTTGCAGCTCCTCGCACAGAGTGTGCCTTGAAGATGGCGGTGTCAATACCTGCCTTCTCCAGCGTGCTCTTAAGCCATTGGGCTATCGCCGAGGTAGAGGCCACTCTGTGGGGCCTGATTGTGGTAAGGAATAGGGGGTTTGACCTTTCTTCCCTCTGAGTCCTATCCTCGTATGCCCGGAGCGTAGTCACGGGACACAGCAGGTGGTTTGCTGTAAAATGCTAAGAAGAAGAAAATTCTTCCAACAGTTAGGACTGTCAGGACTGTTTTGCCAACTTGGTTGTCTGGAAAATCACTCCCTTGTGGAGATGTATCTCCTGAACCTCAGGTCCAGTTGGGACAGGTCTGCTGACCTGGATGGTGTGGTCAGTGCCAGGAGCATCACAGTCTTGTGAGTGAGGTCTGCCAAGGGAAGTGAGTCGTTCTCCCCCTTGGGCCTCACTGTATGTGTCACCTTCGACACATCCCACGTTTCAGAGTATCTTGGCTGATGGGGGTCTTTCGTGGATAATCCCTTTCAGGATCCTACACACCATCGGGTGTTGGCCCACTTCATAACCGTCTACCTTCTCATACACGGATGAGATATGGGAGCAGTATGAATTGAACGGTACTGGTAGCTCTGTTCAAAAGAGGTAAGCCAGGATGTTTATCACTTCCCCTATAGGGCATGAAACGGGATCACAGTCCCATTCACCACACCAGCTGACGCACTCCCCGAATAGGGAGTCGTAGGTCTTGGAGGACTTCTGTCTCTATGATGCCAGGAGCAGTTTCGTAGCTCCCTCTGAAACCTGGCAATCCTTGTAGCGTTGCTGGAGATAGTCCACACGGCTAGTTGGGGCACCACCTCTGGGAGCCTGTGTGGGGCTGTGATCAGGTTCCTCCTCTGGGGGATCAGGAGTGGAACCTTGACCAGCATCTCTGATAGCACTGGGTACCATCCCTGTGCTTTCCACACTGGTGTCACCAGGGCAAGCTCTGCTTGCTGTTGGCAAGTATGTGCCGATTAGGATTCACGGAGGGTTGGTATATGTTCTGAGCTTGGCCCAGTCCAGAGTGAGCGTGTCCGTGGCCATGGCCATCGGGTCTGGTCTCCAGCTGACATATGTCTGCAGCTGGTGAGTCAGTCTTGTGGGAAACAGGTCCATCTCCAGAGGTCATAGTGTCTGGTTTATCTGATGGAGCACTGCTGGGCACAGTTTCCAGTCTGACCAGTTCTTCATGACAAGTGAATCGTCGTCGGCTATGGTGTTTAACACACCTGCCAGGTGCTGGGCTTTGAGGAGAATGGTCCTCTCCATATACCATAGCAAAAGCTCTTTGGCCAGGCTGTTCAACTGCGGGGAGATCGTTCCCCCTAGTTTGTTGATGAATGTCAGTGCTAAAATACTGTCCATTTTGAGATGGAAGGTCAGGTTTGTTTTGTCCTTTGCAAAACACTTCACTGCCAGGGAGGCTGCTATGAGCTCCAGGCAGTTGATGTGCATGGTACTCTCCTCAGGACTCTGTACGGACCCCGTCGCACACCGCCCCCACCTTTTTTTTCGAGGCATCGTTTTTGATTTTGAGGGAGTTATGAACTACCAGGCTCCCGACCGTTCCACTGAGTGAAGTGGTCTCTCCACCATTGAAGTTCTTCTCTGGTCCCCCTCTGTCAACACTGTTGTTGAGGAGTAGCTCTGGTCCTCCTGCAGAGACTCTCGCAGAGGCAAGTATGGAGGTTCCTGTAATAGAGTGGAGCCATTGGAATGGCCTGCGTGACCGCATTCATCTTCCCGATCAGTCAGGAGAGGGCTAGAGCTAGCCTGCCTTACCACACAGACACCTATACTTAGGCGACCTTTTGCAGGACTCCAGGTGCAATCTGATACAAGGACAGTTCAAAACTAGAGTTATTGCCATTTAAATGGAGTGTGGCAGTATATAAGGGCTAAATTTGTTAGTGTTACTAAAAATGGAACTCAACTGCATTTTTCACTGTGCCCCTATTGTTTTGTTCTCTCTTTTAGTAACATTTCTAAATTATAATGCCACATTATCAGATACCCAGAACACAACCCTTAAGCAGCGAAGAAGTTGTACTCCCCAGTACCTACCACAAAATCACTTCTACAATCACTATAAGCAGGACACCCCCACAACAAACGATAGGCAGTTTTGCACTCATCATTACACACTCCTTTCTCCCCTCCCTTCCTCTGTGTCTGCCTACTTACATAACTCCTCATTAATTCCTGATCTAAACTTGTATGTACGTTAATTGGTCCAGCAGGGGGGGGACAACCATTGGATTTTTCCCCC